CAGGGGGGCGGAACCCGGGGCGGGGCCGCGCGAGGGCGCGGTCGGAGCTCTCCACCAATCAGATTTGCGAACCGCGGAATGGGCGTGGCCTCGGGGCGCGGAGGGGGCGTGGCCTCGGCGGATTTCTCAATGGAGCGGCGGCGGCGGGGGCGCGGCGCATGCGCGCTGGGGGCCGATATGGTGGGGGGGTCCCGGGGCGCGGCGCGGAGCTTCCCCCGACGGCGGCACCGGAGCGGGACAGGAGGAGGAGGAGGAGGAGGAGGAGGCGGCCGGGAGGCGGCGGCCAGGCCAGCGGGAGGAGGAGGAGGAGGAGGAAGGACAGGAGGAAGGACAGCAGGAAGGACAGCAGGAAGGAGAGGCGGCGGGAGCTCGGCATGACATGACGGCCCCGCTCGGGCTCCCCCCGCGCTGGCCCGACGCGCTCGGCTGCCGCTGCGAGGATTCCCCGCGGGACAAACCGCGCATGGAGAGCTTGGGACACTGCCGGGAGATGATGCCGCACTCCGCGCTGCCTCCGCCGCCTCCTCCTCCTCCTCCGCCGCCGCCCGCCGCCGCGCAGGGAGCCGCGTACGCGGAGCTGGCGGCCGCGGAACCGGCGCGGCAGTGCCCGTCGGGGGCGGCGTCGGGAGCGGCGCTGGGTTACGGGTACCCGTTCGGGGGGGGTTACTACGGCTGCCGCCTTTCGCACGGGGTGAACCTGCAGCAGAAATCCTGCGCTTTCCACCCGCCCGACAAATTCCCCGAGGCGGGCGCGCCCCTGGCCGAGGAGCTGCCGGCCCGCGCCAAGGAGTTCGCCTTTTACCCGGGATTCCCGGGCTCGTACCAGGCCGTGCCGGGCTATTTGGACGTGTCGGTGGTGCCGGCGCTCGGGGCGCACCCGGAGCCGCGACACGAGGCTTTGCTTCCCATGGAAGGCTACCAGCACTGGGCCCTGTCCAACGGCTGGGACGGGCAGGTTTACTGCTCCAAGGAGCAACCGCAGCCCGCGCACCTCTGGAAATCACCGTTCCCAGGTACGGGCTGGCCCGGGGGAGCTGCCAGGGCGGAGGCGGGGCCGGACGGATACCCCAGAAATCCCACAAATCCCATATATACACCATATAGTCCGTATATCCTATATATCCCATATATCCTATATATCCCCTCGATCCCATATGTCCCATATATCCATATATCCCCTATATCCCATGTATCTCCTATATCCCGTATATTCCATATTTTCCATATATCCCTTCTATCTATCCCATATTTTCCATATATCCCTTCTATCTATCCCTTCTATCCCATATGTCTCACATATCCCTTACATCCCATATATTCAGGGGATTCCTTTTTTAATATTAATTTTTTCCTGTACATTCCATATATTAATTTTTCGGCCTTATTTTCCGTATATTCCATTTATTCAATTTATTCCGTATAATCCGTATATTCCATTTATCCAATTTACTCCATTTATTCCATGTATTCTGTATACTCAATTTATCCCATTTATCCCATATATCCCATATATTCCATTTATTGAATTTATCCCGCATATTCCATTTTCTTTGCCCGCGCGGGAGGCTGCGGAGCGCTGGGGCCGGGGTGATTTTCAGGCGATTTTCGGGCGATTTTCGGGCCCGGGCGATGCTCGGGAGCTGCTCGGGCACGCAGAGCGGGAGGTGAGGCAATCCCTGCCGGCTCCAAACCCGCGCCGCCAGCAGCGAGCGAGGCCAGAAAGGGCTGCTTTAAACCTTTAATTCTCCCCTTTCTTCTCTCCCTCCTCCCTCTCTTTTTCTCGCCGCACCTCGGGAGAAAATCCTCTCTTTATCCCTCCTTTCTTCCTCCCTTTTCCCCCCTTTTCCCCCCGTTTCTCCCCCTTTTTTCCCC